TCTAGGATCCCGGGCTTGGTCTGTTCCTTTTGGGGAAAAAAAAAAAGCACCCTGGCAGGGACTGGGAAGAAGGGCAAGATCGCCCACTCCAATTTCAGAATCACTGCTAAGGGGGAAGTTCAGGGGACAGACCAGGAGGTGGAGTTTGGTAGGACTTGGGAGGGGGGAGCGCAGGGTGCTGGGGGGAGGTCGGGGGGTATGCGTGAGGGTAGCCAGGATAGGAGCTCTGGCCACTGAAAGCCTCACGCACAAGTTGCCAAGGCCATGTCTCCAAGGTACTGATTTGGTTGGTGGTCATGAGTCTTTGTCTCCTGGCCACCTAATCGCCATGGAGGTGAGGTACCTAGGATCTTGGACCTCCCTCAGGGTCCTGACCATTCCTGGACTCAGGGCAAGGGCAATAGACACACCCACAGTGAAACTGCCTTTGGGGAAGTGCTGGCAGCTTCCTCTTCCTGGCGCCTGAAGGCTAGGGTGTCATAGCCCACTGAAGGGGTCTCTGTTCCTCACCCTGCTCAGGACTGTGGCTTGACAGGAACTCAGGACAAGCTGGACACGCTCTGCGGCCTGTGGTGAGCCACAAGGCTGCTCTGGCTCAGGGGGCTGGGATAGCAGTTCCCTGCAGCTATCCAGCTGTGGAGCCACTCTCACTGCTGGATAGCATCTCACTTGTTTTACAGTCAAATCTAGGTGGTGTTGAGCTCATTGGGCCAGGGACAATTCAGGCTCCCTGTGGTGCTCAGGCTAAACTGCCCTCTGCACCCAAAGCCCTTCTGGGTTTCTGAGAGTGGAGAAACCTGGAACCTTTGCTGCCTCCCATGGTGGCTGAACAGGGAAGTCTCCTGGTCCTCGGCTGGTTCAGTTATAAAGGAGGGGATTCTCCAACACTAACCTTTAACCACCCAGCCCCACTCTTTAGTCCCACTTTTCTCCTTTACATGTGTGGTTCCTTCCTCCTCCTCTAACCCTTTTCTAATTTTATTTATTTTGGGTTTTCGAGACAGGGTTTCTCTGTGGCTTTTTGAGGCTGTCCTGGAACTAGCTCTGTAGACCAGGCTGGCCTCAAGCTCACAGAGATCCGCCTGTCTCTACTTTCTGAGTGCTGGGACTAAAGATGTGTGCTGCCACCACCCAGTTTATTTTATTTTATGGCTATGAGGGCTTTTACCTGCATATATGTTTGGGCAGCACTTACATGCAGTGCCTGAAGAGGTCAAAAGAGTTGAAACTGGAGTTAAGGATGCTTGTGAACTGCCGTGTGGGTGCTGAGAGCCAAACCCAGGTCCCCTGGAAGAGTAGCAATGCTCCTAACTGCTGAGCCATCTTTGTAGCTCACTGTGCCTCTTTCTGTAATGTTTTCACTGTTCTCCCTTACTCAGAATATCTCTTCCACCAAGAAAGTTCCCTGGACTTCCCAGGCAACAATAGTTTTTCCCTTATCTGCATATACTATTATGGTATTTTTTTCCCTTGCTTATTGATGGGGGAAGCTCTAAGACATGGTACCCACTATATAGCCCATACTGGTCTCAGATTTGTTATGGAGCTGAAGGTGACCCTAAATTTATTATACTCCAGCCTCAACCTCTGTGTTGTTGGGGTTACAGGTGGTCTACATCCATCTCTAAGATAAGGAGATCACAAGGAGGGTGGAGTAGATTTGGGTTAATTTATTAATGTAATTTGACAAATATTTACCTGCTGCCCCATAGAAGACCTGGAAACAGGATCTTGGGTCAGGGAGACCTTGCCATGAGACTCACTTCAGTGAAGTGGTTCTCAACCTCCCTAATGCTGCCACCCTTTGATGCAGTTCCTCATGCTGTGGGGACCCCAACCATAAAATTATTTTCTTTACTACTTCATAACTGTAATTTTGTTGCTGTTATGAGTTGTAATGTAAATATCTGATATTCGACCTCTGTGAAAGGGTTGTGTGACCACCCAAAGAGGGTCACAACTCACAGGTTGAGAGCCAGTGCTCCAGTGGGATATAGCTGGAGATAGGACTGTGGACCCCAGAGAGACCTATCTATTCCACAGTCAGGCGGAAACAAAAATAGTTGGGGGATGGTGGTGATTAGTGGGATAAAAGATAAAGTGGGACAGCAAGGTAAGATAGAGTGGTGTCGTGGTGGCCCAGTCCTGTAATCTCAGCTCTCTGGAGCAGGAGGATCACAAGCTTCAGGTCAGCCTGAAGTCATCCTCTAAGTAGGGATAGCCTCTATAGGGTCTTATAAACAGCTCACCCACACTGCAGCATTCTGTATACCACACACGTTCTGAACACCTTACCCATTTCTGCCCTTAGTCCTGTGCATTGGGTATGAACAGACCCACTTTACTGGTAAGAGGACCAGAACCAGAATGTAGGAAGCATCTGATGCTTGTCCACAGTAAACGTTCCCAGAGTCCTTTCAGGCAATAACAGTCCTACCTCTAGCAAAGACTGTTTGTTTGAGACAGAGTCTCTCTGTCCTGGAACTCTCTTCATAGATCAGGCTGGCCTTGAAACCACAGAGATCCACCTGCCTCTGCCTCCACCTGCCTCTGACTCTTGAGTGCTGGGATTGAAGGCATTCACTACTACCCCAAACTTTTTTTTTTAAGATTTTATTTATTATGTATATACAACATTCTGCTTCCGTGTATTTCTGCACACCAGAAGAGGGCACCAGATCTCATTACAGATGGTTGTGAGTCACCATGTGGTTGCTGGGAATTGAACTCTGGACCTCTGGAAGAACAGCCAGTGCTCTTAACCTCTGAGCCATCTCTCCAGGCCCCTGCCCCCAGACTTTTAGCAAAGTTTAAACCAGTGTTTGCAAGCTTTGTGCTCAGGGTACGAGGGAGCTACAGAAGGTTTGTAAAAGGGGAGTGATGCAATTTACTTCAGTTGTCCTGCTGGCTGCCCTGTGGAAGATGGATTGGAGAAGCAGGAGAGCTGGGGAGGGTGATGTCTTCCTAGAATGAGATAATGGCGACAGAGGACAGACAGGCTTTAAGGAGGAATTAAGGATAGGCTAACTGTACTTGTTTGGTGGGAGTGAAGGGTCCTGGCTCTGCCTAGTGGGAGGGATCATGAAGGAAGTGACTGTCCAGGAACAGGTACAAATAAGGAGGGTATGCCCAGTTCTGGGCAGAATGGGTTTGTGGGAGTCGGAGGTGTCTGGCAGAGTCCCAAACACGGGACTGACAATCAGGAAGAAATCAGATGCGAGAACCATGTGAGTCCTACATTGATGGAAAGGGAGGGAAGTGACCGGAGTGGCAAGCGGAGGCCTGGCCCTAGCTCTGGGTACTCACATGGAAATGAGGAAAGAGCAGCCAAAGCATTGCCAGTCTCCCTGGGAAGAATATGGGGCTGGGAAGGAATGGCTGGCTGCCGGAGAGGTGTGAGGGCTATGGGATCTGGCCCGGCCCTGAAGAAGGCCGTGTCTTCTTGTTCCACCTCCACAGACTGGGGTCTGTGTGCTGCCCACCTCCCTTGAGTGGGGCCTCCAAGGGGCTGACAGGTTCGTTTGTTGCCTGGCAACTGAGAGAGCTGTTGGCTGTTGCTAGGAGCAAGCTAGGGAGGCCAGAGTAGCAAAGCTCCGAAGCACAGGGCGGGGCAGACAGGGGGGAGGGGAAGGCAGCGGGGGAGGGGCTGGTTTGGAGAGGGATTTGTGTGTTATCGGTATGTTGTAGATTGCGCTCAGCTGTGTGTGCCCATATTCACGATGTCACGTTGGAGGTAAATCCTACAGGTGGATCTATACATCATATCTCTCTCCATAGATAGCATTAGTGTTTTCATCCCATTTAATGCATGCCGGGGGCAGGGCCTGCTTGAGCTTTGACTTCAGGCAGAAAGATCCCTGAGGGAAGCGTTGGATGATTACAGGCTAATGACTCCTCCACAGGGAAGACATTCAGCTGATGTGGACACATGGACGGACACTCCAGAGAGAACAGGCTTTGGTCTGGGGCTGTACAGAAAATCTTACTGCATAGTGATTGGAAAATGCATCAGAAGTCCAGTCAAAGTTGGGGTCACAGGTTCCTCTTAAAAAGCGGACGAGAGAGATTTGAAACATCTCCACTCCCACCTTTGCTCAGCCACAGGGTTGCAGCCACTACCCAGAAGAGACATGGAACGGAGGAAGCCTCCAGAGGCTGACAGAGAACGAAAGGGACAAATTAAAAGATCATGGCAACATTCTCTTCCTTCTGTCTCTCCTGCTAGAGTCCAGTTTGACTGGTCCCTGGCTGAAGCCCGGAATTACTGCCTGCAGGAGAATGCTTCCCAGCCTATCAGGCAAAAGGACTAAGGTGTAGATGACAGGGGAAGATAGTCCAGGCAAAGGTGTAAAGACAGCAACCAGCCGTTTTTGCTTTTTGACGTAGTGCAACTTAGAAAGCTGCCTTAAAGAAAACCAAGATCCAGAAAGGCATCATTTGCCCTCCGCGGGGTCGAGATTAGTAGATCCCCAAACAAGTTTATGGGTTCACTTCTAGCAAGTGAAAGACACACCTTCTCCATCTTACTCTTTTAATTCACAAAAACTCAAAGTCCTGGTTTCTTTTCGGCCTGCACAGAGGGCAGCCAGTCCCGACCCTTGGGCTACCAGATCAACGGGTCCAACAGTCTTGAAACAGAGCCCCAGGCTCTCAGCACCCAATCGGAGCGGAGCTCCGCCTGCAGCCCGCCCAGAGGCCTGAGCCTGTTAGCTCTACCCCTAACGCCTTCCCTAGCAGCGAGCGGTCCGCTTTCCGCCTGCGCCCAGGCTTGGACTGCGCCTAACTTCGCCCTTTGCTCCGCCCTCCAGCCAATCACCATCCCCAAATTTCCTTTGGCCCCACCTCCAGACCCGCCCCGGTCCAGTCTCTGTCTTGGCTCCCCCCGGCCCCCCCCCCGGGCCCC